AAAGCCGTAAATCATGTTGGCATTGATGTAGAATACTGCATGGCGGCAATATTCTTTTAATAAATCACTTAGTAATTTGGCAAACCTCGCAAATATACAATATTTTTGACTTTCAAACCATGTCTCTAAATGAGTACGCCTGATATCAGACACAAAGAACTCAAAAGGAAGTTGAAATTAGGTGGCCCGCGTTTAATTATTGGTCAGTAGTGTGGCACAGTCGTGCCTATACATCCCCCAAGAAATAGATGTGCCTAGTTCGGCCAAGGGTGAATGAATATAGTTCGTAGCTCTCTTCAATCGTACTCAAGAACTAGGCCAGTGATGTAATCAATTACACAAGAGCTGGTTTATTTACAATATTCTCGTCACACAGGCTTCTTAAATTCAATAAGCAATAGTATATGAATACTTTATTATCTGGATACAGGCTATTCGTATGACTCTCTACGAGTTCCTTAACCACTGTTCTAGCTAAACTCCAAGTTTAACATATACCTTCTAAACAAAGAAAAGCACTAGTTTTCTCCTAAACGGTTTCTCTAGCGGTCCAGCCCTAACTGTCCTCTCAAGCGGTTCCGGGGCTAACTCTCCTCTCAAGCGGTTCCGGGGCTAACTAACTTCTCAAGCCCCTGGCTCTGACTTTATTCTCCCGCTTTCCCGCTCTTTCTGGCGTACCTTCTCCATCACTCCCCTGTCACCTGTCTTTGGTGGTCACGTTTGGATGAACGTATCTCTGCAGCTGGTCACAGTGCATGTGCTTGCTCACGGGCACTCGTCGAATGTTTCATCCCTCACTGTCAGATGTCATGGCGGTTATCGTGTAGATGTTCTGCATAGCTGGCTAGGCCATGGCTTTCTAATCACCCATTTCTGTCATTTCACACAGTGATGGATTAGTACGCCGTGTGGTGGTCTGAAATGTATGCTTTGTTCATTTAACCCCTTTCTGTCTATATTTCATTACAGTAGTAGATTACAAATCTTCACTTGTCATGCATCGATTGAGCTGCCGAGTTGTAACAAATTAGCGCATGATACATCCCCTGGGACTGAAAGAGTTAAAGGAATTGGAATTGGAACATCTGAACTCTTTCATTCCTAGACAGTTGTTTACAAACCTGCTCTTTTCTTGTAGTAACTAGACAGTAAGATGTAGGGGCTAGTTTATACAAAGATTTAAAGATCTGTACATGTAGGGCATGAGTAATACAGGTATTGAGGTGGATTCACAGAAACAGGATGTCAGAAATCACATTGCATGGATGAGGAGAATTAGATTGGGTACACAGAAGAAAAGGACAGCAGACAGGTTCAGAGCTAAGGAGAAAAATGAAACACATGTGAGGGCAACAATAGGCCTGAAATCTCACACAGCTCACCCCATGTCCTCTCCATCTTTTTACCCCTGTCTATTGAAGAAGCTGCAGAACTAAGTCTTCCGCTGGGTTCCAATCACTATTGGTGCAACTTTTCTGACTGACTTGTCTACAGTGATGTCTTTACTCAGGGCACACTAACCACCATTGACACTGGCATGAGTGTGGTTTGGGTAAACGATTACTTTTTATTATTTGTAAGTCTTTTCCACTCCCTCCCCACTGCACCCCAGAGATCTCACAAGAAGAATCGTTGCACAGTGCTGGAACTCTTTGAATATTGCTAGGAGCATGTATTTGTATCAGAATCATACATATTATTTTTTTTTAGTCATTAAGACAATTTTCTACTGCTTGGGCTGCTGTTTTTGCTTCACAGTTCCTTAGAGTTTTACCAGTGAGGACATTGGTAATGTCAACGTCATGCACCCTAGTCCTCCTGTTGGTAATGTCCACGTCATGCACCCTAGTACTTCCTGTTGGTAATGTCCACGTCATGCACCCTAGTCCCTCCTGTTGGTAATGTCCACGTCATGCACCCTAGTCCCTCCTGTTGGTAATGACCACGTCATGCACCCTAGTCCCTCCTGTTGGTAATGTCCACGTCATGCACCCTAGTCCCTCCTGTTGGTAATGTTCACGCCATGCACCCTAGTCCCTCCTGTTGGTAATGTCCACGTCATGCACCCTAGTCCCTCCTGTTGGTAATGTCCACGTCATGCACCTTAGTCCCTCCTGTTGGTAATGTCCACGTCATGCACCTTAGTCCCTCCTGTTGGTAATGTCCACGTCATGCACCCTAGTCTCTCCTGTTGGTAATGTCCACGTCATGCACCCTAGTCCCTCCTGTTGGTAATGTCCACGTCATGCACCCTAGTCCCTCCTGTTGGTAATGTCCACGCCATGCACCTTAGTCCCTCCTGTTGGTAATGTCCACGTCATGCACCCTAGTCTCTCCTGTTGGTAATGTCCACGTCATGCACCCTAGTCCCTCCTGTTGGTAATGTCCACGTCATGCACCCTAGTCCCTCCTGTTGGTAATGACCACGTCATGCACCCTAGTCCCTCCTGTTGGTAATGTCCACGTCATGCACCCTAGTCTCTCCTGTTGGTAATGTCCACGTCATGCACCCTAGTCCCTCCTGTTGGTAATGTCCACGTCATGCACCCTAGTCCCTCATGTTGGTAATGTCCATGTCATGCACCCTAGTCTCTCCTGTTGGTAATGTCCACATCATGCACCCTAGTCTCTCCTGTTGGTAATGTCCACGTCATGCACCCTAGTCCCTCCTGTTGGTAATGTCCATGTCATGCACCCTAGTCCCTCATGTTGGTAATGTCCACTTCATGCATCCTAGTCTCTCCTGTTGGTAATGTCCACTTCATGCACCCTAGTCTCTCCTGTTGGTAATGTCCACGTCATGCACCCTAGTCTTTCCCGTTGGTAATGTCCACGTCATGCACCCTAGTCTCTCCTGTTATTTCTTTTTTTACTTTGAGAAGGTAGGTTATCCAGTCCATCATCCTAAGATCAGGGAGGAGCATACCGTCGTGTTTTTTATTTTTGTAAAAATCCACATAATAGACACTGTAATTCTGCATGATTTCAACGTGAACTCAACTTCTAAAACCCTCTACCTTCGGCTGTGACTGGTTTCTCACAAGTTATTGCTGTTTATAGAATAAAAATTATTGTCAGAAGTGGCTAGATAACTTTTATGATAAACATTAATATTATGTTTCTGTAACATATCTGACCAGACACTGTCACTATCAAACCATTTTTAATTACATAAACAACATAGATAAAACTGACTCACAGAGCAGGCTGAGAAAGGTGGAGACAGGCATGCTCCATGCAGAGTGGCAAGCATCACTTCAGAGGTCCCAGGTAGTAAGCATCCTTTGGATATTTTCTCCAGGTGATGCCGGTGTGTTGGGAAATGAGCAGGCAGATAGACTGGCTGGTTCTGCACCACTTGGTGGTAAATTGATGCATGACAAGCTGGATGTTGTAAGGGCCCTTTGGGAGCGAGTGAACAGTGCCGAGGAACAGATAGATCATTACAGTCTGAGGAGAATGGTGCTGCAAAGAGTTACAAGGAAATCTGGCCAACGCTCGACACTCAGCGGAAAAGCGAGACGGATTTACAATCAGACATTTACTGGTACCATTGGAATTTTAACTTTTTGCTTGCTGCTGAAAATGGGGACAGAGCGCTTATGGGGGTGTCCCGAGTGCTATGATGTCGATTCCTAATTCAACATTCAACATAAATTAACTGGGTGATACGCTGCAGAGATCACCTCTGGCACACAGGATGATACATCACAGAGATCACCTCTGGCACATAGGATGATACATCACAGAGATCACCTCTGGCACACAGGATGATACACAGCAGAGATCACCTCTGGCACACAGGATGATACATCACAGAGATCACCTCTGGCACACAATATGATACACTGTAGAGATCACCTCTGGCACACAGGATGATACACTGTAGAGATCACCTCTGGCACACAGGATGATACACTGTAGAGATCACCTCTGGCACACAGGATGATATACTGTAGAGATCACCTCTGGCACACAGGATGATACACCACAGTGATCACCTCTGGCACACAGGATGATACACCACAGATATCACCTCTGGCACACAGGATGATACACTGTAGAGATCACCTCTGGCACAAGGATGATACACTGTAGAGATCACCTCTGGCACACAGGATGATACATCACAGAGATCACCTCTGGCAAACAGGATGATACACTGTAGAGATCACCTCTGGCACACAGGATGATACACTGTAGAGATCACCTCTGGCACACAGGATGATATACTGTAGAGATCACCTCTGGCACACATGATGATACACTGTAGAGATCACCTCTGGCACACAGGATGATACACCACAGAGATCACCTCTGGCACACAGGATGATACACCACAGAGATCACCTCTGGCACACAGGATGATACACCACAGAGATCACCTCTGGCACACAGGATTAACAAGAAGTTTTGTCAGCCAGTATAGGACTGGCACTATTACCCACACACATTGATGGATATGTTGAAGGGGAAATCTTTGCACCTATGAACGTGTGTGAAGTGCTGTGAAGATAATCCACCTGATAACTCTGAACTCCAGCCAGTATATGTTGTCATGTCTTGTTGCTTCACTTCTGTGCTTCGGTAGATATTTTGATGAGCTGTAATTAACATAGAGGAGCAGGTGGTCGAGAGATTTGAGTGCTCTGCTCAAGCAGGAGACTTCAAGCCTCAGTAGGAGATAGACATTTTTTCTGTCAAAAATAACAATTCCAACATGCACAGTTTATGGTAACTACACCAACCAGGCGGCCTTACATTTGCAAGCTTCGACACCTCCCCCTTTCCCCAACCCTCCTGTCCTACACCAGCCAGGCAGCCTTAAATGTGCAGTTTCAACCCTCTGCCACACACACACCCACCCACACACACGCCTGTACTACACCACTATAAAAGGGTAAATCGGGCAGTAAAGACAGTCTTTAATAAACTGAAAAGAGATATTTTCTAGATGTTGAACTTTTCCTTGCAGAAACTGGATTGTTTGAACTGTCATCATGAGTCCAGTTGCCCCGATAGCTTTGGTATTTGTTGGCTGCTGTAGCAATGTCGTCTTCCTGGAGCAGCTGATCAAGTAAGTCATCTTTATGTGGGCAAGGAAATCTGATCAACAGCTTGGCATTGGCAGAGTTAGGATTGCCTCAGTGCAAATATACCTCAGTATGAGATTTGGAGAGGGCATATTAGAGAACCTTGGCCATGATAATACACCGCAGAATGTAGCAAAGACTCAAGAGAGAGAGAGTGTGTATGTGTATGCAGGCGTGCAGGTATATGCAGTTCTTCCTCAAGGCTGCTTCTCAAAGGTGTGAAACCCTTAGATTACAATCTGTATGGGAGACCAACAGGCTAATGCAAGATACCCTGCCTCATAGCAAGTTATACGGGCCCAATAGACTGGTTTAACCTGCTATCCTGTGTGATGGACAAATGTCTTGTCACTGGACCATGACAGGAACAACACTGGACCGTCACAGGAGTAGTCTTGTCACTGGACCATGACAGGAACAACACTGGACCTTCACAGGAGTAGTCTTGTCACTGGACCATCACAGGAACAACACTGGACCGTCACAGGAGTAGTCTTGTCACTGGACCATGACAGGAACAACACTGGACCTTCACAGGAGTAGTCTTGTCACTGGACCATGACAGTAACAACACTGGACCTTCACAGGAGTAGTCTTGTCACTGGACCATCACAGGAACAACACTGGACCATCACAGGAGTAGTCTTGTCACTGTGCCATCATAGGAGTAGTCTTGTCACTGTGCCATCACAGGAGTAGTCTTGTCACTGTGCCATCACAGGAGTAGTCTTGTCACTGTGCCATCACAGGAGTAGTCTTGTCACTGTGCCATCACAGGAGTAGTCTTGTCACTGTGCCATCACAGGAGTAGTCTTGTCACTGGACCATCACAGGAGTAGTCTTGTCACTGGACCATCACAGGAGTAGTCTTGTCACTGTGCCATAATCACATTGTAGTATTTTCTGTTGAGTGCATTTTGTGTAGCTCAAACCTTGGACATGGTAGTTGTATTCAGTCATACAGCAAACGATATGTGCACATTGTGTTTTTTTTTTCTTCAAACAGAGTATACCCCAACAGCGGGAATGCAATCACCTTCTGTGCCTTCGTATTCAACTGTCTGGAGGGTTTGTTTTTTACCACCAAGTTCCTCACAAAACCCTCAGCCATCCCTCTCAGGTCAGTTGTCTGTTTGTTGGCATGTGTGCTTATAGTTTACATTGCAGTTGGCTTCTGTAACAGTCTCTCTCTCTCTCTCTCTCTCTCTCTCTCTCTCTCTCTCTCTCTCTCTCTCTCTCTCTCTCTCTCTCTCTCTCTCTCTCTCTCTCTCTCTCTCTCTCTCTCTCACACACACACATAGTTATATTTCTTTGTCTCCATCATTCTTAATTATTATGTTATATTATGCTTCTCTGCGTCAAGGACTGAAAGGACACTTTCAAATTCAAGTGTGTTCATTCACTCACAACGCTCTCTGTGTTACCCGCTTCCCCCCTCTGTGTTACCCGCTTCCCCTCTGTGTTACCCTCTTCTCCTCTCTGTGTTACCCGCTCCCCCTCTCTGTGTTACCCTCTCCCCCTCTCTGTGTTACCTTCTTCCCCTCTCTGTGTTACCCTCTTCCCCTCTCTGTGTTACCTTCTCTCCCTCTCCATGTTAGCCTCTCCCCCTCTCTGTTACCCTCTCCCCCTCTGTGTTACCCTCTTCCCCTCTTTGTGTTACCTTCTTCCCCTCTCTGTGTTACCTTTTCCCCATCTCTGTTACCTTCTTCCCCTCTCTGTGTTACCCTCTCCCCCTCTCTGTGTTACCTTTTTCCCCTCTCTGTGTTACCTTCTTCCCCTCTCTGTGTTACCCTCTCCCCCTCTCTGTGTTACCTTCATTCCCTCTCTGTCACCTTCTCTCAGTTTTTCTTCTTTACCCCTATGTCTTCCTCCCAGTTTTTCTTCTTTACCCCTATATCTTCCTCCCAGTTTTTCTTCTTTACCCCTATGTCTTCCTCCCAGTTTTTCTTCTTTACCCCTGTCTTCCTCCCAGTTTTCCTTTTTCATTTTTTTTTTTTTCATTTTGTTATTTCAAATCACTCTGCCTCCCTAAATTTTTGTCTTGATGTTTCCTTTCTGTTTGATTTTTGCATGACATTTCTCATTTTCATCAAGGAATTTCCATTGAAATGTGACTAAAAACCTTAATGAAACAGGGAAGCAGAAAAACAGGCACAAAACAACATTTTGGCTGGTGGCCCTTCTCGAACAAGTAATGAACAGCTGTAACAAAGAGGAGAATATTTAAATCTTAAGGGGTGATGTGAGCAGCTTTAAAAAAAATTTTATGTGGAGTGAATGAAGTAAGATAAAATAAACGAAGGTTAAAAAAAATTGATGTGGAGTGAATTAAGTAAAATAAAATAAACCAAGATTAAAAAAATGTGATTTGGAGTGAATGAAGTAAAATAAAATAAACAAAGCTTAAAAAAATAGACGCAAGGAATCAAAAGTGCTATTGTTAATATTCAACATAATAGTAGGAATACAGGAGTAATAGAAATAAAAATGTTGATGATACATAAATAGTACTGATAAGAGATATATTAAAGTAATAATATGAAATAAAATAAAATTAATATAATAGTTAAAATTGAAAATGTGATAATAGCAAAACTGTTTAGATGAAGATATGTTGGACATTGATGCCACCTGAACTAAAAACACCTAGGCTGTGGATGAGGTGATTTTCCAAAGCGAGGCACTTGGTATGATCGCCAGAGCAAGATTTAATGCTGTGACAGATATATCATCTGCAGTCACCCCAATGTGTTCACTAATTTTCTAAAGTGAGGCGCATGGTATGATCGCCAGAGCAAGATTTAATGCTGTGACAGATATATCATCTGCACTCACCCCCATGTGTTCACTAATTTTTATCGTGATGATGCCCATTCGTGAAATTTTTTTGGGGGGGATATGATGATTTTGTGTGTGTGGGTGGGTGTGTGTGCATGCATCTTCCCCCCCCCCCCTTTTTTTTTTCCCTCTGTGTCATATGTTCTCTTGGATGTCACTGTCTGACTATGATGTTTACATGTGATGATGATTGTTACAGATACTACCTGTCGATGGTTGGGTTTTTCTTTGTTGTTCAAGCCTTGAATAACTACACTCTGGGGTTTAACATCGCCATGCCTCTACACATGATCATTCGTTCTGTAAGTACGTGACATTTGACCTTTCTCTGCAGTAATCTGTTCCTGTTGCCAAGTCAGCAGTCGTATGATCAGAAATGGGAAACATTTGTGTATATACGTATATAATATATATATGGTAAACATCTAGTTACAGAGGCGTTCTGTGAAAACACGAAGTGAGAAGCAGGTTCTGGACACAACACAGGTTGAATCTACCTATCAGACACTTAAACAGACTGGCACAGATCTGAATGAATGAATCAAGAATTGACATAACTGTACTCAGGTCATCCCCACACATGCTCCGTCCTCTGCTTCAGTAGCCAATGAAGAGTTGACATGCTAATTGTACCAGTTGCAATCTGGTTACAAGTCCACCTTTGTTTCCCCCTTCAGTGTTGAGTGTCTTCCAGAACCTCTATCCCCCCCCTTACCCCCTGCTGAATTAGTCCCTCAGTATCTGGATTGCCTGTCTGTTCTTTAGGACTGTCCATTTGATCTTATAGAGCAGCAGTTTTCAACCTATGGGTCGCAACCCTTTTGTGGGTCAAATGACCCTTTCACATGGGTCGCCTAAGAGCAACGGAAAACAGATTAACTGAAGTTATGAAGTAGCAATGAAAATAATGTTATGTTTGGAGGTGGCCACAACATGAGGAAGTGTATTCAAGGGTGGCCACAACATGAGGAAGTGTATTCAAGGGTCGCTGCATTAGGAAGGTTGAGAACCACTGCTATAGAGCCTTCACCCCATCCGCTGTATCGTATAGTAGCTCACCACCCAGAGGATCGGCAACAGCTGTTTTAGCAGCCTGCTCGTTACCTCACACACCTGAATGTCCTAGACAGAAAATCCAAGAGATGCTCTTGATCTGGGTCTTATCAAGTGATGTAAGACACTCTGCGCACAGATACCAGTTTCAGTTTTCCCAAGCATGCTCTGTGAGTCTGCTGCAATTACAACATGTTGGGCTGTGCTTCTCTAAAGCCATTAGAAAGCTTCCATAACTGCCTCCACCTCCATTCTCATACTGGGTGTAGTCACGTAGGTGAGGCTCTCAGTTTTCCAGTATTGTCTGTCACTCTTCATACCTCTCACTACAGACCCATCTATATATATTGTGATGTCACCTGTGCATGAATTTTCAGTCATCAGCTCTTGCACTGCTGACTCTGTTTCACCAGCTATCCCTTTCTAGGTCCAAGTTAACTATCACTCTGTGGAAGTCTGTTTTGCTGGGCGGCACTGTAACCAATTCTTCACCATGCTCTGTCTCGTCCGTAGCACAAACAGTTCTGATCGTGACTTTTGCATGTGCCATCCAAGAGCCATCTGTTTTCAGCCCTTGTCCCTTGCTATCCTTTAAGGCCCTGTGCTGATGGTGTTCCCTGTCCGTTGCGACTTAAAGATACATTTTCGCCTGTAAAACCGTGTATCTTTTGAATACGGATGGTAGTATATGTATGTGCTGCATGAACACAATTGGCGTGTCTCATGTAAACCCCAAAATGACTCTCATGCTTCATTTTGTCTGCATTCTAGCTTCTCTGTTTGGTTATGAGATAATGCTGGCAGTTCCAACCCCTACTCCATCCCTGAAATAATCAGTTGCTGGTAGAGTGTATAGAGCCGTTTCTGTTCCGTGCCCACTGATGCCATCACCTTGAGAGCATTGAGTCCTTTTCTTTTCTCTAAAACTACTTCTTTCACATGGTATTTGAAAGATTTTGCTCAAGAGTAATTAAGAGACATTTTGTGAATTGTCTCTCTTTATATTACTGTCATTTATTGTGATGTCCGACAACACATCTATAACAATTCTGTTGTTTAAAGAACACCACAATACTTCTGCCTTATCTGGATTGATGACCGTGCCTCTTTCCTCACACCGCTTAACTACCTTGTCTACTGCAAACTGCAGTCTCTAGATATTTCTATTCTATGTCTTCCCTAAGAATCCTTATGAGCAAAATTCAAGATTCTCCCTATACCCACTGTCTCTGAATTCTTCATAGATGTGAATTCTCCACAGATCTGAATTCTTCACAGATCTGAATTCTTCATAGATCTGAATTCTTCACAGATCTGAATTCTTCACAGATCTGAATTCTCCACAGATCTGAATTCTCCACAGATCTGAATTCTCCACAGATCTGAATTCTCCACAGATCTGAATTCTTCACAGATCTGAATTCTTCACAGATCTGGATTCTTCACAGATCTGAATTCTTCACAGATCTGAATTCTTCACAGATCTGAATTCTTCACAGATCTGGATTCTTCACAGATCTGAATTCTTCACAGATCTGAATTCTCCACAGATCTGAATTCTCCACAGATCTGAATTCTTCACAGATCTGAATTCTTCACAGATCGGAATTCTCGACAGATCTGAATTCTTCATAGATCTGAATTCTTCATAGATCTGAATTCTTCATAGATCTGGATTCTTCACAGATCTGAATTCTTCACAGATCTGAATTCTTCTTAGATCTGAATTCTTCACAGATCTGAATTCTCCACAGATCTGAATTCTCCACAGATCTGAATTCTTCACAGATCTGGATTCTTCACAGATCTGGATTCTTCACAGATCTGAATTCTTCACAGATCTGGATTCTTCACAGATCTGAATTCTTCACAGATCTGGATTCTTCACAGATCTGAATTCTTCACAGATCTGAATTCTTCACAGATCTGGATTCTTCACAGATCTGGATTCTTCACAGATCTGGATTCTTCACAGATCTGGATTCTTAGCTTAAGAGGAATAAAGACAGACCAGAAACATGAAGAGATAGAATTAGACAGACAATACTATATATGAGTAGATAAATATAGTGAGACTAAACAGACAGAGAAAAGAAGGCAAACATTTAAGTATATATATATATATATATATATATATATATATATATATATATATATATATATATATATATATATATATATATATATATATATATATATATATATATATACACATATAGAGAGAGAGAGAGCAACTAAATAAAGAAGGGAAGGCAAACATTTCAGTATACAATAGAGAAACTAAATATAGAAGAGATCTGTACAGACTGGCATGTAAGTCATGACATGGAAGGAACTACACAGCATTGTTCTGGAACTACACAGCATTGTTCGTTTCAGCATGAATTGTTTGAAGTCACTATTTTCGTTCTGGGACCCTATTTTGGGAAGGTGGGGGGGGGGGGGGGGGGGGCTGTGCACCCATTGTTTGCCTAACAAGCATGTTTGTAAATGGTGGCCAGTTACTCAGTTGGGAGTTTGCTGAATTGGTTGTATTTCGCCGAAAGGCATAGATATTGCAGCCTAGCTGTAAACCTCAACACTGTGTGCCAGCCACTCTTTTAAGGGTAGACAAATTAGGAAGATTGGTTGTGGAGTATGATCCATTGGCAAGACAATCTAACAGTGTTGTATTTGTTCAGTGTGTTGGTGCCCAGTGAGGTATGTGATGGCAATAGAACTTCCTTCCTCAGTTTGAGAATTAAACTTTTACTCCTCTGCTGGCAAGCTGGGGCACTACCTGCTGTTTCAGTGCAGTTGTATTGATATCATCCTCATCATGTGCCATTTTGTAGTTTTCATTATTATGTTGATAGTAACACTTAGTAACACAAGTTTATGATGCTGCTGCTTTAGTTCATCGATGGTTACTGTCTGTGCCTCAAGTCTTGTACCTAAACATTCCTGTTCACAAACCTTAAATCACTACATAGGCATATTGTGTACACAGTCCTTAGATTATGTACATCATGTTAACTACACAAGTTTAAAATCCTCTACGTAGACATAGTCAGTATATGCGGCTTAGATGTTGCGAATGCACTTAAGTTCCGGCTGCACACATTTTGGCAGGAAACCACTCTCTGTTGATTTTGACAGTGGTATTGAGAGCTGGCCTTACAGAAAGCAATGGCAAACCAGTAAACATAGACATATTTCACTACATGTTTTGTTTAAAAATTGTTAAACATATAGGTAACTCATTTTTATCTCCAATGCTGTTTTTAATCAGTGTAATTTTATTTCCTGTTTGTGTCTTTTTCCAGGGTTCCCTCATTGCAAATCTTATACTTGGTGTAATTATACTTGATAAATCGTAAGTGGTTTTTCTCCTATAAGTCTTCCATTGCTTTTTTAATTTATGGCTGCAGATTTCTTTATCTTTTACTAAATTATGTTATTCTTTCTGGACTGTCAATTTAGTTTGTGTGTCTTCCGAGAATTTTCATGGCTTCATAATCTGTTGTGTCTTTCTCCAGCTTATATGTGTATTTGAAATGTTGAAAAATTACTCAGCAGTCAGAAATTTAACAGATTGGACTGAATTGTCCACTGTCAGGCTAACTCTCCTAGAAAAAGCTACCCTCACCACAGCATTATCATTATCAAGTGGAAAGCGTCATCAATAATTCTTCTCCACATGTGTACTGTTGCGCACGTTAAAAAAAAACCCTTGGCAGTTAGAAAGCAAAAAGAGTAGCCAAACGGTGCTGCCTGGGAACAATTTGAAGTTAAAAATCTACCTAAAGTATTTTGTGGACTGTGTTGAGATTCTTTGGACTCAGACTTGAGTTAGAAGTAGAACGGGGCACTTACAGGTTACTACCCTTGTGCCATGATGTTGATCCGTTGTTTGAAAATCTAAAACCTAATACAGTTGTAACATGTTCCATATGCTTTCTTCTCATAACATGGCCAAACATAATGGCTGTCTATGTCCAATTTTGTGATAAATTGTTTTCGGGCGCTCACTTCATCTTTCTTCTTCTTCTTCTTCTTCTCGTCCTCCTTCTTCTTCTTCTCCTCCTCCTCCTCCTCCTCCTCCTCCTCCTCCTCCTCCTCCTCCTCCTCCTCCTCCTCCTCCACCTCCTCCTCCTCCTCCTCCTCCTCCTCCTTCTTCTTCTTCCTCTTCCTCTTCCTCCTTCAGCAGCAGCATCATCATCATGTTCACTAGGTGTAGACTCTGGCAGCAAGTTCTGGTTGTTCACCCACTTCTGGACTTTAACCTTCTTTCAGAGCCTGAGTTTTCCATGCACATCAATCTGGACTGTGTATGCAGACTGTTGGTTACTCACTTCTGAGGCAGATGCACTCCAACTTTGAAGGAAGCATCTCTTGTCAGTTGACTGTTACAATATGCTTGTTAGGGCCAGTAGGTCTTTTCTTGTGTTCTCCACAGTGGTGGCCCTGGAACCCACATGGGGAACCTCTGTCAAAACATCAGGATGACTGGTTTTGGATGTCCATGGAAATGTGAGCATTCTTCTGTAAAACCACGTCTAAGGCCTCGAGAAACACAAAGCAATGTAGCGTGTGGGATTCTGGTATAATAACTTGGATGTATCATCCGTGGGCTGTGTTACAGAGTTTGTGCGCTGGACTGAGCTTCTCCTTGTACAGTCTCTGGGAGAAGGCTGGGGTACTTGTGGAGTGAAAGCCAACCTTGAAGCAATCATTGTCATTGTATACCTATTTATAGATCAAATATTTACAGAATGTAAACAGTCAGTACTGGCTGTTCTGTTTATGTACTCCTCACTCTTTACAACAAGTTAGTATGTGCCTTCAGAGATTAACCTGTTATGCACCTTTAGGAGTTAATGTGTGTTTACCTCGACTTGTAGAGATTAACCTGTTATGCACCTTTAAGAGTTAATGTGTGTGTACCTCGACTTGTAGAGATTAACCTGTTATGCACCTTTAGGAGTTAATGTGTGTGTACCTCGACTTGTAGAGATTAACCTGTTATGCACCTTTAGGAGTTAATGTGTGTGTACCTCGACTTGTAGAGATTAACCTGTTATGCACCTTTAGGAGTTAATGTGTGTGTACCTCGACTTGTAGAGATTAACTTGTTATGCACCTTCCAGAGTTAATATGTGTGTACCTCGACTTGTAGAGATTAACCTGTTATGCACCTTTAGGAGTTAATGTGTGTGTACCTCGACTTGTAGAGATTAACCTGTTATGCACCTTTAGGAGTTAATGTGTGTGTACCTCGACTTGTAGAGATTAACCTGTTATGCACCTTTAGGAGTTAATGTGTGTGTACCTCGACTTGTAGAGATTAACCTGTTATGCACCTTTCAGAGTTAATATATGTGTGTACATAGACAAGTTTATTGATATGCTTGGCATCTGTGTTTGAGGGGTTGAGAACATATTCAGTAATGCCGAGGTGCTGGGTGTAATCCCAGCTGCAGGTGATTTGGCAAGGTCATTGAACTCACTTAGAAAAAAAAATTTATGCAAAGTGTATATTTGTACGTACTCACACATGTTTATGTGTGCATATATAATGTTTAATATTGAATGTTTAATTAAGAACCAACATCACAGCACGCAGGACATTTTCATTAGCGCTCCGTCCCCATCTTCAGCAGAAAGCACAGCGTTCTAATTTCAGTGGTACCAGTAACTGTCTGATTGTATATCCATCTCACCTTTCCCTTGAGTGATGATCATCGACCAGATCTTTGGGTCAGTGCTCGCAGTACCATTCTCTTCAGGCCATGATGAACCCTCTGTGCTTCAGCATTGTTCACTCACCACTTCACTCACCCCCCCCCCCCTCCCCCCCCCCCAAAGGGTCCTTATTACATCTAGCTTGTCATGCACCAGTTCACCACCATGTTGCACACAACCATCCAGTTATCAATAAGGAAACTAACTACTCAGGACTGCTGAAGCAATGCTTGCCACTCTTTATGGAGCATACCGGTCTCCACTTTTCTCAGCATGCTCTGTGATTTCAATGATGAAATGTGTGTGCAGCTGATTCTCCAGCCAGTGACAGGCTGCAGTGACTGCCTCCACCTCCATTCTCAAACTAGACTTTGTGAAATTGTTTGCCAGGCTTTGTTGCACTAAGCGACGTCCATCCCCTGTGTGCTTCATCTGCTTCTCAACACAGCCATCTGTATAGATCATCACATCACCTGGGCAAGAATTGTCATGAATCATGTGTCGATGCTACAGCCTTATCTAGAACAGCCTGAATGAAAGGAAGATCAACTAATATAACTAACTCATTGGAGATATCACACAGAAGATCCGTCCACCAACACTTTGAGGAGGTCACGAGAAGAAGAGAAGAAAATTAAGATGTAGACACAGTTAACAAAAAACTCAAGTCTTCAGAGGGATCGACACCTAACAATACACAAACCTAGCCAGGGCTTTTTTGTTTCTGGCAGTACGCAAAAGTATGGTACATTTTGTGTGTGTGCATGCATAGATTTTTAGGCACTACTTAATGGATACTCTGTTATGAGTATTTTATAAACTTTGTGGTGAGTGCCAGCACCTGTGTTTTGCCTATAGAAAATCCCTGAACCGAGCTAAAGAAATGTATTTCTGCCATAGTAAGTCGGTAATGGTTTGTGGTTTCTCTCATACAGATACAAGCCCACCAAGTATCTCTCTGTGATCCTCATCACCTTTGGCATTATCATCTGCACTATTGCCTCTGCCGTTCACATGGTATGACATGTTCTGTATTTCTGTACTGTTGGGTTCTTGCCTCACTGTGATGTAGAAGCGTTCTCTTTGTTAGACCACACATGTGTTCTAGTTTCACCAGGCAGACACTTTTGGTGAATGAAAGGATCTTTTTCCCACAAGTGATGCTTTGTGTATATAGTCCTAGATGATTTAAGATTGCTGCATGTCTTAGCGGGGCCCATAAAGGAAGTAGAAAATGTCATCTACCTAGAAGAGACAAAGTAGGGAGAGTATGATACTGGCAGTCTGATTCTATAGCTGCAGGATACAACCAGCTGTGAAGAAGTCTAAAAGAACATGGAAGGTCCAAGGCAGAGGAAAGCACTATGCTCTGCCTGAATAAGTACCAGTGTCAAGATCCACACACCTAAGATAAGAGAATGTTAAGATGATGATCATATAGACATTTGTGCTTCTCTTCTAGCAACCAGACACACCACACACTGTTACTGTTCATCGGCGATGTATGGATAGTATTAATTATTTCAAGCCTGTTTAGGGTGTAAGTAATATTTCTTCCATTCCCCAATAATATTTGTGAAGCATTGATCATTTCACTATCTCACAATCATTAAGGAAGAAAATTGGAGCCCTTGAGCTGAGTGCTACAGAAAGATTCTCAGAATTCCATGAGCAAAGAGAGAGAGAGAGAGACACACATGCACGCCTGCTCTCACACACACACACACACGCACGCATGCATGCGCGCGTTTCTTCCCTGTCTAAACTGCTGCTATGTTTTTTCTGTGCAGGAGAAGACAGCCAGCCACACAGGTGATCCGGTCTATGATTACCTGGTCTGGTTTGTAGGTATGTGCATCCATTAGTGAGATTACAGTTTGCTTTCAAATGTTTGTCTCACTTTCAGTTTTATCCTGTTGTAGTTAAGTAACACATTGGAATCCTGTTTGATACAAGTCAAGAGATATCAAATATGGCATTAGTTAAAATTATGGGACAAATTACACAGTAAATCTATCCTCAATTATATTCAGGCAAGGTCTTTCTGCTCTGCAGAATGGTGCCCTCAAACCAGTGCTGATGCGTTTAATTTCTGAGGGTCACCAGGGTGTCTTTAACATGGAGGTTATGACCATCAGGTCTGAGCACTCCAGTGATAGATTCTTCAAGTCTCTCAACAACTAACTTCTCCATTTAACGGGGTCTAACTCAACCTGAGGGATTTAAAGTGCAACTCAGCCTATCTCAGATTTTTTTTCTTGGAGTTATGGCCCCTGCTTTACACATCTTTACATTTGGATACTATTCATTAACTACAACAGGGCTGTTCAGCTAAGTTGGCTCAGGGGTCAAAATGTTCAAAAATGGGAATAGTCACGGACCAGAGGCCCTAACCCCAGCATAGAAAGATCAAAAATACAGTACAGCCAGAAGTGATCCACTAGCTAGGCCTTGAGGGGCCAGATTTGGACCGCAGGCCGCCAGTTGAATAGCCCTGACCTACAGTCACATTTGTCTCAGGGCTTCAACTGGTCTGAAAGATATGTTGTTGTTTTCTTTTCTTGGAGAGACCTCAGTGATTATGTATAGTCTTGTTTATATTTCTAATATTGCATACTCCTGTCATGTGCTGATGAAGGTTTTCTAGCTGCAAAGTTCCCTTGTCACTTGTGATTGTGGTCATGTGAAATTGACTAGTTCCAGTTTTCAATTGATTAAATATCTTTTTATGAGATAGATGTAAGACTTGAAAGATATTTAACATTAACAGTCTCCAGGTATCAGAATGTTAAGTAAACATTTGAATGCAGTTTCCACTCCAGGATATAATCAATCATTCAGTCAATCAGCCAACATGTCCTTCACAAAATGTTGCTCTCTTCATAGCACGTCTGAAAGTTGATCTCTAGTCAATTCTCCAGAAAGTTGATCTCTAGCCAATTCTTCAGAAAGTTTATCTCTAGCCAATTCTCCATTAAGTTTATCTCTAGCCAATTCTTCAGAAAGTTTATCTCTAGCCAATTTTCCATTAAGTTTATCTCTAGCCAATTCTCCAGAAAGTTTATCTCTAGCCATTTCTCCAGAAAGTTTATCTCTAGCCATTTCTCCAGAAAGTTTATCTCTAGCCATTTCTCCAGAAAGTTTATCTCTAGCCAATTCTCCAGAAAGTTTATCTCTAGCTAATTCTCCAGAAAGTTTATTTCTAGCCAATTCTCCAGAAAGTTTTATATCTAGCCAATTCTCCAGAAAGTTTATCTCTAGCCAATTCTCCAGAAAGTTTATCTTTAGCCAATTCTCCAGCAAGTTTATCTTTAGCCAATTCTCCAGAAAGTTTATCTCTAGCCAATTCTCAAAAAAATTCATCTTTAGCCAATTCTCCATAAAGTTTATCTCTAGCCAATTCTCTATAAAGTTTATCTCTAGCCAGTTCTCCATAAAGTTTATCTCTAGCCAGTTCTCCAGAAAGTTTATCTCTAGCCAATTCTCCATAAAGTTTACTTTTTTCCAATTCTCCATAAAGTTTATCTCTACCCAATTCTCCAGAAAGTTTACCTTTTGCAAATTCTCGTGAAAGTTTAGCTAATTCTCCAGAAAGTTTACTTTTTGCCAATTCTCGTGAAAGTTTATCTGCAGCCAATTCTCCAGAAAGTTTACTTTTTGGCAATTCTCGTGAAAGTTTATCTCTAGCCAATTCTCCAGAAAGTTTACTTTTTGCCAATTCTCATGAAAGTTTATCTCTAGCCAATTCTCCAGAAAGTTTACTTTTTGCCAATTCTCGTGAAAGTTTATCTCTAGCCCATTCTCCAGAAAGTTTACTTTTTGCCAATTCTCGTGAAAGTTTATCTGTAGCCAATTCTCCAGAAAGTTTACTTTTTGCCAATTCTCGTGAAAGTTTATCTCTAGCCCATTCTCCAGAAAATTTACTTTTTGCCAATTCTCGTAAAAGTTTATCTGTAGCCAATTCTTCAGAAAGTTTATCTCTAGCCAATTCTCCAGAAAGTTTATCTCTAGCCAATTCTCCAGCCCTGTGCGCTTTCATAGCTAATGCATCTTCAGTGTCTTATACTCACCTTTGCAGAGATTAACCTGTGTCTTGTTTTCTGGAAATCGCCCTCTCCACAGTTCTCTTCAGGCACCATGGTACTTGACATGACCAAAATACCCCAGCTTTCGGGAGAGGATGCTGTTTATGAGCCAATTCTCCTTGTGGGTCAGATCATGCAGGATGTGAATGTTTTTCATCTTCTTGGTCCAGGAAATTTTTCTGTAGCATTTTAGTTCAAAAGCTAAGAGTGAATTTGCTGTGAAGACTCAGTAAGAATCCCTGACTCACAGACCAGATAAGAAACATAATCAAGAAGACTGCAGGCTAGCTCTTCACCAGTGGTGACCTACATTTGTTTAGGTTTAAGGGCTGCTATCCATGTCCGATATGCTGGTGGTCTAGTTGGTTGAGTCTAGCCTGCTAGAGAGGGAGATAGTCGGACAACACCAGCAGTTTTCCATACAGTTTGACACAGACAAGTGTGGGTTATCTCTGCCTATTGACCAGCAGCTGCACACTATACAGGTAGCCAAAAAAAAAAAAAAAATAGTAAGCCAACACAGAACTAATGATATCAGTCCCCACACTCTGAGAACATGCTGAGGAAGAACTAAAGATAGGATCTGAGTTTTTATGGAATTTTCTAGCGTGCGTTGAGGATGATTTGTTATATTGCTAACTATCTAGTAGACTGTACGGACATGTTGGTCTCCCCTGTTGTAGACTGCACGGACATGTTGGTCTTCCCTGTTGTAGACTGTACGGACATGTTGGTTACTCCTGTTGTAGACTGCACGGACATGTTGGTTACTCCTGTTGTAGACTGCACGGACATGTTGGTTACTCCTGTTGTAGACTGCACAGACATATTGGTCTCCCTGTTGTAGACTGCACAGACATGTTGGTCTCCCTGTTGTAGACTGCACGGACATGTTGGTTACTCCTGTTGTAGACTGCACGGACATGTTGGTTACTCCTGTTGTAGACTGCACAGACATGTTGGTCTCCCTGTTGTAGACTGCACAGACATGTTGGTCTCCCTGTTGTAGACTGCACGGACATGTTGGTCTCCCTGTTGTAGAATGCACGGACATGTTGGTTACTCCTGTTGTAGACTGCACGGACATGTTGGTCTCCCTGTTGTAGACTGCATGGACATGTTGGTTACTCCTGTTGTAGACTGCACAGACATGTTGGTCTCCCTGTTGTAGACTGCATGGACATGTTGGTCTCCCTGTTGTAGACTGCACCGACATGTTGGTCTCCCTGTTGTAGAATGCACGGACATGTTGGTTACTCCTGTTGTAGACTGTAGTTTATCAGTTTTAGGAACTAGGCTGATATTCCCTGATGCGACAAACAGTAGTACTTGAGAGATTCTATATTCCCTGATGCGACAAACAGTAGTACTTGAGAGATTCTATAATAAGGATACAGCGAGAATATTTGTGTTTTGTTACCAGGTCTGTTTCTGTTAGCGCTGTCGCTGTTTCTCTCAGCTCGGATGGGTATTTTCCAAGAGCAGACCTATGCCACGTATGGTAAACATCCATCTGAAGCATTGTTCTATAACGTAAGTCTCACAGGGAACTGTTTATGTTGAGTTACGTCCGGCAGTAGTTATAATACCCTGTATATGGAAATCATGTTAGTATGTTTAATGGTAATCAGTGTTCAGTGTTTGTAGCTTTAGCGTTGCAAGCACACTTCGACATTCCGAGGTACCTAGTTCAATTTCATCTACAGGTGATTTGACATTTGCAACCTACTGTGAGTATCTTTAGTAAAGCAACATCCTGTTGGTACTACACAAATAATTGAACATGAACAACTTTATTATGGGTGTCCAGGAACTGCCTTGTCTAGCATCTGCTAAGGCTGCAGCGGGATTAGGAATATTCTGTGCTCTGTATCTTTGTCAACTGAGATCAGAAAAAAAGTTCTTAAAGCTGATATATAGCCAGTACTGACATACAGAAGTGAATCCTGCACAGTTAGCTGATTAATGAGAAATTATGTGGAAGTAGCAGGTGTGGTTTTATACACCAGTGATGAGAACACTCTAAATAGATTAGGAAAAAAAAAAAGTTATAGTGTCTTGAAAGAAATTGTTTTGTGATGACTGATTACCCGCATCAGGAGGAGACAGTTTACATTCTTTGTTTATGTGATGAAAATGGGAAAACTGGTGTACGTCATATAAGGTGCGAAAATTGGAGGCAAAAGAGGCAGAAGGTGACCAGGAGGACAGCTTCTAGTCTGGCAAAAATCTGTGTCAGAATTGATTGCAAGTGCAGGAGATATGAGGCTGTGGACAGACATGACTATCAGAGCCACATGGCATAGACTCTAAAGCCATGACGCTTATGTTTCTCGGCATGGCACATGATGGCGATGACAATGGTAACTTGCTGTATGTTCCTGGGCTCGTGAAGAAAGTGCACAGTAGTAAAATTATAATATGCTATGCATGTCATAAGAGGCTGGCCTGAGACTGGCTGTTTCACCATAGTGAACTTGAGCTGCAAAAATCTATTTATCATAAACACTTCTGCAAAGGATTCAACACCAGGTGATTGATACCTGTGCTGCATTGGGAGATCAAAGTCAGAAGTTGTCTGCAGGAGCCTGGCATCGGAGACTGTTGTTTTCATATATTGATGTTTTTGTTGTGCCTGCTGACTCAAATGTTTTGTTTTGTTGCTAGCACTTTCTCAAATGTTTTGTTTTGTTGTGCCTGCTGACTAAAATGTTTTGTTTTGTTGCTAGCACTTTCTCAAATGTTTTGCTTTGTTGTGCCTGCTGACTAAAATGTTTTGTTTTGTTGCTAGCACTTTCTCAAATGTTTTGTTTTGTTGTGCCTGCTGAATAAAATGTTTTGTTTTGTTGTGCCTGCTGACTAAAATGTTTTGTTTTGTTGCTAGCACTTTCTCATATGTTTTGTTTTGTTGTGCCTGCTGACTAAAATGTTTTGTTTTGTTGTGCCTGCTGACTAAAATGTTTTGTTTTGTTGCCAGCACTTTCTCAAATGTTTTGTTTTGTTGTGCCTGCTGACTAAAATGTTTTGTTTTGTTGTGCCTGCTGACTAAAATGTTTTGTTTTGTTGCCAGCACTTTCTCAAATGTTTTGTTTTGTTGTGCCTGCTGACTAAAATGTTTTGTTTTGTTGTGCCTGCTGACTAAAATGTTTTGTTTTGTTGCCAGCACTTTCTCAAATGTTTTGTTTTGTTGTGCCTGCTGACTAAAATGTTTTGTTTTGTTGTGCCTGCTGACTAAAATGTTTTGTTTTGTTGCCAGCACTTTCTCAAATGTTTTGTTTTGTAACCAGCACTTCCTGCCGCTGCCTGGGTTCCTGTTGCTAGCTCCTGATATTTACCGATCTATCTCGGAGCTCAGTAAATCAGGTTTGTGATCATTTACTAGTCCAATATTTCTGCTTTCTTATTTTATCAGGTAAATTTGAGAATTTGAATAGGGTACTGTCTCCACACATGCATCTAGGAAGCATGCAATGCTATAAAATATCTGTAGCCAGTTCTACTGTTTATTTAGCACCTTCTGATAGGTGTGACAGAGGTACTGTTGTGATTTGTGTTAGTGTGCCCGCACTTTCATTAACATGTAAACACTGAATACTGTGTTTCCAATTCTCAAAGAATGTTTCTTTGAGTTGTCATAGTAATTGTGGAGTTAGTCTGGCTTTCACACAAAGTCATCGACTACTGAGTAGCCACCCATTTATTCTTATAGGTCACATGCACACTAATCCCAGGTAGTCATTGGCCAAGTATATCAACAGTACGCTGGTAAAGCTGATCACAAATCATGCTAGCACTATGAACAAAGTCATGAGAGGCTAGCGGATGCATCTGGAGAAATGATTACGTATCATGTTGGTTACCACAAATAACTTTATCATTCTGGTTACACAAAAGAAACACTTGTCACAAGGAGGAACACCTATTACTCTCCTCTCCACAGCTTTAAATCCAGTCCATGCCAAGCAAAATCAATCATCACATTTCAGGGGCATCAAACAGACACATCCCGTCTGACCAGTAACTGACCTGTCTGCTTTTATGTGTCAGAGTCTAGTAGTTGTTTGTCTTTCTCTCACAGTGTGTGGTAAAGTTGACTCTTGACAGGCCTCCATGTCCAAGTTGGATGTTCTGGGCTGCCTGCTTGATGAACTGGTACCACACAGCTCTCCTGGTGGCCGCACACATTTCACTGTGGCTTTCATAGCAAGTTTCAGATAGATTAACAGGCTGCTGTAACACATATAAAAATATGCCAACCAGAGATATTGCATGTGGTTTCAGCTGTGGTTGGTCATATTTGTGTAACTTGCATTAGCTGTGGCTGCCGGAAGTTTGCCTCTGAGAACTGGATTATAACTGATGGCTCAATAGAGCTGTCTGTACTGGTAGGCATTATTGTTGATACTGGAAAGTTAGTCAATTTATGTGTCCCGTACTCACCCAGAAAATGATAGGTTTTTTTAACAACATCTATTTTAAATGGTGTATGGATAAGTCAGATTTTGTCTGTTTGCGTGGTATATAAAATATAAGTTACAATTCATGGAATCGTTGGCACAAGCAAAGAAGAACGTTCATTGAGAAAATCCTGGCATAACTGCAGTTGCTGCATTTCATTGTCCATTGTTCTTGTTGCAGATGCATACACTATCATTTATTTCATTGTCCATTGTTCTTGTTGCAGATGCATACACTATCACTTCACTGGGCATCACTTTGCCGTGGGCCATTGTGTGGCTGCTTCTGACTACAGCTTCACAGTATCCTTGATTTTATTTATCTGTGTGTGTGTGTGTGTGCTTGCATGTGCAGGTGCATGCATGCACGGGTGTACACGTGCTTCTTTGAGTGTGTGTGTGTGCACATACACTTGTGTGAGAATTTGGAGAATTTGTGTATTGACAGTGTGTGTGTGTGTGTGTGCACGTGCGTGTGTGCGTGAGTGCACTTCTGTAAGAGAATGTGTAATTGTGTGTGTGTGCTAATCTGAGTGTGTGTTTTTGTGTGTTTATAATAATTGACTTTGTTCAGGAATAAATAAGAACATGCATAGGGCATGTTAAAAAAAAAATATTTTTACAAAAGGAGAATTGGAGGGGAAGAGAAACAGTGGATGACCCAGAGAGAATTGGAGGGGAAGAGAAACAGTGGATGACCCAAAGAGAATTGGAGGGGAAGAGAAACAGGGGATGACCCAAAGAGAATTGGAGTGCAAGAGAAACAGTGGATGACCCAAAGAGAATTGGAGGGGAAGAGAAACAGTGGATGACCCAAAGAGAAAATGCTAGACAGCTTGACACAGTTGCACTGAGAAATCTGTACCAGAGTTCACTGGCAAAATGCAAGGCAGAATGGCTCCTGTGCTGCCAGAACCATCAGAAGAATAGTTACATTGTAATGTAACATGTATGACATTAGAGGCAATTAAGGAAAACTGGTGTGAAGCCCTCTGCCTTGTTCTAGAGAAATTTAAGCTTTAAAATCTTACCAGTCGTGTACAAGCCTTTAAAAGATCTGGCAGTAGTTAGTGAAGGAACAGTCATGTACAAGCCTTCAAAAGATCTAGCAGGAGTCATTTCATGACCAGTCATGTACAAGCCTTCAAAAGATCTGGCGGGAGTCAGTGAAGGAACAGTCATGTACAAGCCTTCAAAAGATCTGGCAGGAGTCAGTGAAGGAACAGTCATGTGCAAGCCTTCAAAAGATCTGGCGGGAGTCAGTGAAGGAACAGTCATGTACAAGCCTTCAAAAGATCTGGCGGGAGTCAGTGAAGAAACAGTCATGTACAAGCCTTCAAAAGATCTAGCAGGAGTCATTTCATGACCAGTCATGTACAAGCCTTCAAAAGATCTGGCAGAAGACAGTGAAGGAACAGTCGTGTACAAGCCTTCAAAAGATCTGGCAGTAGTTAGTGAAGGAACAGTCGTGTACAAGCCTTCAAAAGATCTGGCAGTAGTTAGTGAAGGAACAGTCGTGTACAAGCCTTCAAAAGATCTGGCAGTAGTTAGTGAAGGAACAGTCGTGTACAAGCCTTCAAAAGATCTGGCAGTAGTTAGTGAAGGAACAGTCGTGTACAAGCCTTCAAAAGATCTGGCAGTAGTTAGTGAAGGAACAGTCGTGTACAAGCCTTCAAAAGATCTGGCAGTAGTTAGTGAAGGAACAGTCATGTACAAGCCTTCAAAAGATCTGGCAGTAGTTAGTGAAGGAACAGTCATGTACAAGCCTTCAAAAGATCTGGCAGTAGTTAGTGAAGGAACAGTCATGTACAAGCCTTCAAAAGATCTGGCAGTAGTTAGTGAAGGAACAGTCATGTACAAGCCTTCAAAAGATCTGGCAGTAGTTAGTGAAGGAACAGTCGTGTACAAGCCTTCAAAAGATCTGGCAGTAGTTAGTGAAGGAACAGTCGTGTACAAGCCTTCAAAAGATCTGGCAGTAGTTAGTGAAGGAACAGTCATGTACAAGCCTTCAAAAGATCTGGCAGTAGTTAGTGAAGGAACAGTCGTGTACAAGCCTTTAAAAGATCTGGCAGTAGTTAGTGAAGGAACAGTCATGTACAAGCCTTTAAAAGATCTGGCAGTAGTTAGTGAAGGAACAGTCATGTACAAGCCTTCAAAAGATCTGGCAGGAGTCAGTGAAGGAACAGTCATGTACAAGCCTTCAAAAGATCTGGCAGGAGTCAGTGAAGGAACAGTCATGTACAAGCCTTCGAAAGATCTGGCAGGAGTCAGTGAAGGAACAGTCATGTACAAGCCTTCAAAAGATCTGGCAGGAGTCATCTCATGACCAGTCATGTACAAGCCTTCAAAAGATCTGGCAGTAGTTAGTGAAGGAACAGTCGTGTACAAGCCTTCAAAAGATCTGGCACTAGTCAGTGAAGGAACAGTCGTGTACAAGCCTTCAAAATATCTGGCAGTAGTTAGTGAAGGAACAGTCATGTACAAGTCTTCAAAAGATCTGGCAGTAGTTAGTGAAGGAACAGTCGTGTACAAGCCTTCAAAAGATCTGGCAGTAGTCAATGAAGGAACAGTCATGTACAAGCCTTCAAAAGATCTGGCAGTAGTTAGTGAAGGAACAGTCGTGTACAAGCCTTTAAAAGATCTGGCAGTAGTTAGTGAAGGAACAGTCATGTACAAGCCTTCAAAAGATCTGGCAGTAGTCAGGGAAGGAACAGTCGTGTACAAGCCTTCAAAAGATCTAGCAGGAGTCAGTGAAGGAACAGTCATGTACAAGCCTTCAAAAGATCTGGCAGGAGTCAGTGAAGGAACAGTCATGTACAAGCCTTCAAAAGATCCGGCAGTAGTCAGTGAAGGAACAGTCATGTACAAGCCTTCAAAAGATCTGGCAGTAGTTAGTGATGGAACAGTCATGTACAAGCCTTCAAAAGATCTGGCAGTAGTTAGTGAAGGAACAGTCATGTACAAGCCTTTAAAAGATCTGGCATTAGTTAGTGAAGGAACAGTCATGTACAAGCCTTCAAAAGATCTGGCAGGAGTCAGTGAAGAAACAGTCATGTACAAGCCTTCAAAAGATCTGGCAGGAGTCAGTGAAGGAACAGTCATGTACAAGCCTTCAAAAGATCTGGCAGTAGTCAGTGAAGGAACAGTCATGTACAAGCCCTCACAAAATCTGGCAGGAGTCAGTGAAGGAACAGTCATGTACAAGCCTTCACAAAATCTGGCAGTAGTTAGTGAAGGAACAGTCATGTACAAGCCTTCAAAAGATCTGGCAGGAGTCAGTGAAGGAACAGTCATGTACAAGCCTTCAAAAGATCTGGCAGGAGTCAGTGAAGGAACAGTCATGTACAAGCCTTCACAAAATCTGGCAGGAGTCAGTGAAGGAACAGTCGTGTACAAGCCTTCACAAAATCTGGCAGGAGTCAGTGAAGGAACAGTCATGTACAAGCCTTGAAATAGCTTGGTTTTGTTGGAGGACTTTACTCCTGTGGGAGGTGATAGACAAAAGATGCAAGACAGAAAACTGTGAGAACATTAATTGTCAGTTTCCCATGCAATAGAATAAAAGTATTTTAAAGATGTTCATCATCACAAAGGGGGTGGGTGGGGTGAGAGGCTAGGAGAATTGACCAGCTGTACCTTAACAGGCATGTCATCTAATACAATTAAGGCATTCCTGTAATCAGATGTGTTGGTCTGAAAGACACAAATATCCCAGCCTAGCTGTAAACATCAGCATGCCACTTGCATTGTTCAAGGTGAATGCAGAAGGAGAAAAATGAAGAAGACGATGGTGACTAGATTGCTGAGTTATTGTTGCAGGTTCTGTGGCCTTGATTGCCCGTTAGGATCCATGAATTGAAAGATGTTGAGAAAGGATGAAACATAACAACAGTAGTTCCAGTAGAGGGACCAAGGGTATCAAAGTGTCCCACTCATGTCATGTCACTACGGGGATGGATTCTAAATGGACAACTGTAGCGTCCGCAGGTAACTGAATTACTGGCAGAGCTGTGTGGAGTACCAGGAAATGTGCAAGCCGTTTTTGTGGTTTGTGTGTATGTTTATGTATGTGAGGCTGCATAGACCATAGTTAAAGGAATATTCATATTGAACAAGGGAGACATTCTGACAACCAGTTATGAATGAGTGTTAATGAAAGATACATCACTAGATGAAATAACACAGGTGAGAATTTTGAAGTCAGTGCTGATCTGGCAAGAAAGAACGTATGAGAGGGAGAGTATGAAATGTGTACAACCAGTTTGTTACGGGAACAGTAACCATCTACACTTTTGCTTGTGGGAGACGGAGCATTAGTAGGTTTGCCATGTGTGCTATGATATCATTTCTTAAATCAGCCATCAGCAGTTCCAAATAACTGAATGAAAATGACAGTTGTCCTTGACCTGAATGTCCCCAGATTTGTCTGCATCAAGAGTGTCTTTATTCTGACCACAGAGTGCTCATCCTTAATCGTCACCCTGGTGGTGACCTTGAGGAAGTTTATCAGCCTGGTGTTCTCGATCATTTATTTTCAAAACCCGTTCACACTGGCCCACTGGTTCGGAGCTTTCCTGGTCTTCATGGGCACAATGATGTTTGTGGAAGCCTTCGCCAGATTTCGATGGTATCGCCAGCTGGAGAAGTCACTTTCTTTTATGGAGAATATGTCTAGTAAATAAGTTTTGTTTGTTTTAAATCACCATCCTCATCATCGTAATCATCATCATCATCTAACTGTTTTGTCTGTATTATCATCATCCCATCGTATCCTACTAACCTCTCAAATGTGTGCATCAGTTATTTGGACACCTCCCCTCCCTTGCTGCTGTACGTCCCAATATCTGATATCACTATCATGTGCCAGTAATTTGCTGTGATAATTATTCATTTTTCTACTATTACATTTAAGAAATGTTATAAACAATGCCTGTCTGCCAGCAAGATAATTTTATGTTGTTTTATTAGGACATAGTTATCTCAAAGCTGTTAGTTCTATGGGGAGCTATTAGTTCTATGGGGAGCTATTAGTTATGTGGGGAGCTGTTAGTTCTGTGGGGAGCTGTTAGTTCTATGGGAACTATTAGTTCTGTGGGGAGCTGTTAGTTCTGTGGGGAGCTGTTAGTTCTGTGGGGAGCTGTTAGTTCTATGGGAAGCTATTAGTTCTGTGGTGAGCTGTTAGTTCTGTGGGGAGCTATTAGTTCTGTGGTGAGCTGTTAGTTCTGTGGGAAGCTATTAGTTCTGTGGGGAGCTATTAGTTCTGTGGGGAGCTATTAGTTCTGTGGGGAGCTATTAGTTCTGTGGGGAGCTGTTAGTTCTGTGGGGAGCTGTTAGTTCTGTGGGGAGCTGTTAGTTCTGTGGGGAGCTATTAGTTCTGTGGGGAGCTGTTAGTTCTGTGGGGAGCTGTTAGTTCTGTGGGGAGCTATAAGTTCTGTGGGGAGCTGTTAGTTCTGTGGGGAGCTCTTAGTTCTGTGGGGAGCTGTTAGTTCTGTGGGGAGTTGTTAGTTCTGTGGGGAGCTATTAGTTCTGTGGGGAGCTGTTAGTTCTGTGGGGAGCTGTTAGTTCTGTGGGGAGCTATTAGTTCTGTGGGGAGCTGTTAGTTCTGTGGGGAGCTATTAGTTCTGTGGGGAGCTGTTAGTTCTGTGGGGAGTTGTTAGTTCTGTGAAGAGCTGTTAGTTCTGTAGGGAGCTGTTAGTTCTGTGGGGAGCTATTAGTTCTGTGGGGAGCTGTTAGTTCTGTGGGGAGCTGTTAGTTCTGTGGGGAGCTATTAGTTCTGTGGGGAGCTATTAGTTCTGTGGGGAGCTGTTAGTTCTGTGGGGAGCTGTTAGTTCTGTGGGGAGCTGTTAGTTCTGTGGGGAGCTATTAGTTCTGTGGGGAGCTATTAGTTCTGTGGGGAGCTGTTAGTTCTGTGGGGAGTTGCAGTCAAACAGTGGCTAGGTGTTTTGCTTGCCAACCCAAAGCTCTTGGGTTAGAATCTGCTTGGGGACAGATTTGCTCTACATGACCTGGTCTCACAGGTCAACCCAATATTATGGGAAGTTCACTTGTATTCATTCTTGATTAATGATCTTTATATTCTTCTGTTTGAAGATTCATCTGTCCTTTGTGATAAATTAACTGAATTGTTAGGCTAGTTTGAAATTAAATTTTAAAATTCTTTAATCTGTAATTCATAGAATTGTTCCAGTAATTTTTGCTTCTTTTACTTGACTTTTGCATGTGACAGTTGTGTTATTAGCTACATATCCTTTATTGGATATCGCAGAACTAACCGGAGCATTTGTTAGTTTTAACGTTTAACTAGACAATTTTACAATTGTTTGCCATTGCTTCAGAGCGATTGACTCCTAATGACGCTGTTGAAATCAATGCAAGGCTGTCTGCTGCCAAACTACCGCCAGCTAGAGTCTAAATGGGTATCTGAGAATCACGAAACATGTTCACAACACCTAGATTACAGACAGCAACTACTCGTGGCATTAACTTGTAATAATTCATTAATAATGATGATTAAATTCTCCTTTTTAATGTATAATCTGCCCTCTAGGATACATGAACTGAGCTGTTATGTTTGATTTTTAGTTAGAAGATTGCATGCATTATTACTTGATTGTATTAATTGACAGTTAATGGCTGAACTGTGGCTTATCTCATTATTGAATAGAGTAATTGAAGAAGTTTTACTGCAGTGTAGTAGTCACATAATGACAGGCAGGAGTACACATAATGACAGGCAGGAGTACACGTAATGACAGGCAGGAGTACACGTAATGACAGGCAGGAGTACACGTAATGACAGGCAGGAGTACACGTAATGACAGGCAGGAGTACACGTAATGTCAGGCAGGAGTACACATAATGTCAGACAGGAGTACACATAATGTCAGACAGGAGTACACATAATATCAGACAGGAGTACACATAATGACAGGCAGGAGTACACATAATGACAGGCAGGAGTTCACATAATGACAGGCAGGAGTACACATAATGACAGGCAGGAGTGCACATAATGACAGGCAGGAGTACACATAATGACAGGCAGGAGTACACATAATGACAGGCAGGAGTACACATAATGACAGGCAGAAGTACACATAATGACCGGCAGGAGTACACATAATGTCAGGCAGGAGTACACATAATGTCAGGCAGGAGTACACATAATGTCATGCAGGAGTACACATAATGACAGGCAGGAGTACACATAATGACAGGCAGGAGTACACATAATGACAGGCAGGAGTACACATAATGACAGGCAGGAGTACACATAATGACAGGCAGGAGTACACATAATGACAGGCAGGAGTACACATAATGTCAGGCAGGAGTACACATAATGTCAGGCAGGAGTACACATAATGTCAGGCAGGAGTACACATAATGTCAGGCAGGAGTACACATAATGACAGGCAGGAGTACACATACAATAACAAGAGTACACACAATGTTGGACTGGAGTGTACATAATGGCGGACAGGAGTGTACATAATGTTGGGCAGATTTGCACGTATGCAAATAATCTTTCATATTTTGTACAGTACCAGCAGTCTGAGTAGTTTAACCCCGTGTTTCTCACAAGTATATGCTTTGTTTTTTTAATTAACAAGATTTAATACTTTGGCCTTATATGTATTTGGTCTTGGCATTGTTTAATTACTGCCAGAATTATAGGGTAATGTATTTGTCTCTTCTTTTAAGGCACTGTGAAGAGAGACTGAGCCACCTGGGATCAAACCCAGTGCAGTGAAGTCGACCCTCTCAGGTTTTTATCCCAATTATGTGTTTTCTGTGTCAGTGAGCCTTCTTTGCTGCAATATCCACTCTGTTTCTTGTGTAGCTGACTTGTTTCTGCTTCCTGCTGCTTCAAGTTTTATTGTATTCTACAGCTGCCCTCTCGTTCAACCCAATTCATTTCCCTTGCTGATTGGCTGCTTCCTGTTTGGATGATGCTGATAACTCAGTGTTTGATTGGATGCTGCCACAGTTTTTGACTGGATGTTATTAGTTGACTTGGTTTTTGATTGGATGGTGCCAGTGACTTAGTTTTTGGTTGAATTCTGCCAGTTGCTCCAATATTGATTGAATTTATCTAGTGACTCATTTGTTGATTGAGTGACTGAAATGTTATCACTTCAAAAATAACATCCATTGTTATTTTTATCATGTAAGTATTCCTTTATGGTGTTGCGCGATTTATGAATCAATTGATTGATAATCATATATCCCTTGATTTTAATAGTTCAGATTGTCTTTGCTTTCGTGTTCTTGTCTTGTTTTGCCAACTCTAATTTGTTTTCACTTTTTCCCTTCTAAGACTGCTTTGTAATTGGTTTTAAATTGTGTCATTTGCGGTTATTGTTATAGACAAGTAGATTTGAATGTTTGACATGTCTGAGGTTGTTATTGTTATAGACAAGTAGATTTGAATGTTTGACATGTCTGAGGTTGTTATTGTTATAGACAAGTAGATTTGAATGTTTGACATGTCTGAGGTTGTTATTGTTATAGACAAGTAGATTTGAATGTTTGACATGTCTGAGGTTGTTATTGTTATAGACAAGTAGATTTGAATGTTTGACATGTCTGAGGTTGTTATTGTTATAGACAAGTAGATTTGAATGTTTGACATGTCTGAGGTTGTTATTGTTATAGACAAGTAGATTTGTATGTTTGACATGTCTGAGGTTGTTATTGTTATAGACAAGTAGATTTGAATGTTTGACATGTCTGAGGTTGTTATTGTTATAGACAAGTAGATTTGTATGTTTGACATGTCTGAGGTTGTTATTGTTATAGACAAGTAGATTTGTATGTTTGACATGTCTGAGGTTGTTATTGTTATAGACAAGTAGATTTGTATGTTTGACATGTCTGAGGTTGTTATTGTTATAGACAAGTAGATTTGTATGTTTGACAGGTCTGAGGTTGTTATTGTTATAGACAAGTAGATTTGAATGTTTGACATGTCTGAGGTTGTTATTGTTATAGACAAGTAGATTTGTATGTTTGACATGTCTGAGGTTGTTATTGTTATAGACAAGTAGATTTGTATGTTTGACATGTCTGAGGTTGTTATTGTTATAGACAAGTAGATTTGTATGTTTGACATGTCTGAGGTTGTTATTGTTATAGACAAGTAGATTTGAATGTTTGACATGTCTGAGGTTGTTATTGTTATAGACAAGTAGATTTGAATGTTTGACATGTCTGAGGTTGTTATTGTTATAGACAAGTAGATTTGAATGTTTGACATGTCTGAGGTTGTTATTGTTATAGACAAGTAGATTTGTATGTTTGACATGTCTGAGGTTGTTATTGTTATAGACAAGTAGATTTGAATGTTTGACATGTCTGAGGTTGTTATTGTTATAGACAAGTAGATTTGAATGTTTGACATGTCTGAGGTTGTTATTGTTATAGACAAGTAGATTTGTATGTTTGACATGTCTGAGGTTGTTATTGTTATAGACAAGTAGATTTGTATGTTTGACATGTCTGAGGTTGTTATTGTTATAGACAAGTAGATTTGTATGTTTGACATGTCTGAGGTTGTTATTGTTATAGACAAGTAGATTTGTATGTTTGACATGTCTGAGGTTGTTATTGCCCTTGTTAAAGTAATGAGTGCATAAATTGACACATTTCAGATACAATTGTAAATTGACAGGCTTTGCAG